TTTAAAATAAACATAAATATTTAATTAACACATAATACAGTACTCATAAATTATATATTAAATATTTTACAAGTTCCAAAGTTTTAAATTTATTTTAATTTGCTTGCAAATTTGTGGACCAAGATGAAATATCGCATAAACCGGATAACAATCTAATGACATAATGAATAATAATTTATAATATCTTACAATAATACTATAAAACTAACTACCAACATTTATATTTTTATTGAACTGTATATAATAACATTATTTAGGGCCATTCAATAAGTAAGTAAGTACGGGGTAGGAGAGGGGTGTCAAAAGCGTATGATGTTATTTGGGTGACAGGTTCAGTAATAGTCGACGTACATCATGTAGGGATCATTAAAAGGTTTTATAATGTTTACAAAAGATTTGATTCAAATCAATGGATTAAATCTTAATCTGTCATAAGGCTAGATAAAGACTTAATATGGCAATTGGGGCAAATAGGGCACTGACTTAATTTCCATATTTGTCATACTTGCCAAACTTGAACTACAAAAGTGAGACGGCAGTTATATATTAAAATATTAGTAATTTTTTGTAAATTATTTTAAATAATTTGTAGCCAAATAAATTAATAATTTAATAGTTATATATATAATTGCATATTCTCTCTCACTCTCTCTCTCTCTCTCTCTCCCTTTTCATGGGCACGAAATAAAGTAAGAAAGCTATTTTCTTTGATTATAATTATTAAATTAATAATTTATTAAGCTACAGACTATTAAGAATAGTTTGTAAATATTAATATTAATTTAATATTTAATAATAATTTTAAATATAAATAACTATTTCACTTTTGAATGGCAAGTATGGTATTTAATTCAATGCCGGCATATAACACAATTTATTAAATAACAAATATTTGTTAAAGTGTATTTATATTTTAACATCACATACCTGAAAAAATACCGGGAAAGTCAAGATAATGGTTGGGCCAAGGGTTACGCCTATTTTCCGACTACTACTCAATCTCTCGAAATACGCCATAAGTTTGAGTTTGAATCGCATGCGAAACGGATAGCCATTGATACGCCACTGGAGTCGCGATAGTCCCACGCATGGCTTATGTATTTGCTTGGAAAGGTAGGCGTAAATGAATAATATTTCAAAACCGAGCAAGGTCATTAAAATTATAACAATCTGGTAAAATAATTCAAATTTTAGGCGAATGTTTTCAAACATGTATTGATGTAAAAGTAATAAATTAATGGGTATTATGACGATTACGTGTGCCATAAAGAATTGCGATAAAAACCGATTGTACATGGTCAATTCAGTGCAAAAGTAATTGTGCTGGGTCATGAAATTGTCTGCCGATTTATAGAAGGCGTATGTTATAAATAAATTGTTTTTATTATCAGGGTTCCACTTGTTGATCGTTTTTATTACCCTGACACAATACATAATTATTAAAATGACAAATAATAGTGCCATGGTTATATCAATTGTGATCATACAATAACAAACAAACTGGATAGCCTGCGGTAATAATGATTGTAAATATATTTTCCATGTATAGTGTTTTATGTTAATATAAATAAATTGCAATGCTGACAATGATACTTAAAATATAGATTAAAAAATTTAATATATTAAATAAATAAATAAATTTATAAACGGAACTATATTTAGAATATTATAAAATTGAATATTATATCATGTTAATACAGTATTAATAATACTGTACTATTCAATTTGTCTGGTTCATTAAGAAACAATACTGTAATTCATATAAACCAACAGAGTCTAATACCTTTTTCTGAATCATCAGGTCTAATATTTTATGAAATCTACATGTATAATTAATCTGTTACCGTACTATATTTATTATAATTTCAAAACTTTTAATACTGTATATAGGTAATATAATATTTCAAATATACGTTCCGTATATTTATATCAGATTTATATACCAGTTGTCATTAAGCCTAGATTAAATGCAAATAATATATAACTCGACATTTTCTTTATAAATAAAATATCCTGCTCAAATAAGGTGACTAGTGTTAATTGATTAGAATTTATTTTGCCCATTATAAACTCTATAATCAAACTATATTTAGACTTTATTTGTGATTGTCGTAGGTGAAAGTTATAAAATATAAACACACCATATGCCGATGCTAATATAAAAATTATTGAGTTATAATCGTGAATACCGCCCATTAATTCAGGTAAGTCATATAATATGAGCCTGGTAGTATAGTCTGTGTTTATACAATATATAATTTTACACGCATGTAATATATAACAAACCACTCCTAAATAGTCTATAAATGAATTTTGTTTATTACCACGTGATTTATCAGTAATATTATTTAAATAATAAACAATAATTCTGTTTATAATGTTGAAATAATTTACTACTTTTTGTCTTGGTATCATTGTGAAATAAAATTTTGCCAATAGTTACATTCAGTATTATTATATTATATTTTTGTCAATATACTTTAGGTGCAATAATATAAACTAATACACTACATTTATGTAATACAATAATATACAATAATGTACCTCTATAATATTAAAATATTACGTTATCAATCATGAATAAATATCTAATGTATTGATTGCCATTAATGTATTTTGAATTAGGTCACATTCATTGAATAATTATGCATTTCTAAAAAATGATTTATAACATTACAGTCACGCTATTAGATAATTTAGACTATAGCAATTGTATTCATAACTTATATATTATTTATTAAAACTTAGTTATTGCATATGTTATATAAAGATTATCAAATATAAATAGTTTATATTATTTAAATCGTTTAATACATTAATACAATGATATAGAAAATAATAAAATAATTATTTCTAAAAATTCTAAATTATCTATATGCTAAATAATCCAAATAAAAGTGTTTATAATAAGTTATCATTTACGGAGTCAAATTAAATAATATTATCATTATAACATTTAATAAATGCATTTGTATGACAGTGTCAATTTTGGTAATTTTTGGTAATTTTATCATATTGAATTGATATCATATTTCAAAAATAATATGAAATATCCTTCAATATTAATACCTGTATAGGTTTTAACAAGGACTTATATTTAAGCTTATATCTCAATTCAATTCAATGCAATTTTATTTGAAAAACAATAACATATTCAGAAATATCTATAATTCCCAATGCCTATACATAAAGACCCCATTAGATACCTGTCCACATAAACCAAATAATTATGAATTATATTTTCATAAACTTCTGTCATTTAGTTGAGAACACTGGGAGTCGACACAAATGTCGATTTGATACACAAATTCAATTATAATAACAATTCCTATATAAACTGTAATTATAACCAAAAAATAAGTTTAAAAATTTTTATTTGAAAATATAAACATGAATACAATGTTCCCGGTTTGCGTCGTATGCGTTATCGTCGCTCAAGGAGTTATGGGGTGTGAGGGGTTAGCGCACACTAAGCTCCGAGCTTTACATGGTGTGCGCGCGCAGGTCAATACCACTGGACCAAGCTACACTCAAATGGATTGCAAAGTTAACTGTAACCTATCTGGTATCATTGGCCTTGATGATGAGGGTGAAGCTATCAAAATGTGGGATGAGCTAGAGGAGGTGTGCCATTTATGCCGTAAAATGCAGGTCTTGAAGTATAAAGTGCTCCTGATCAAGGCACTAGGAGCATCGTAATGGGGCAACATCTATATCCACATATGTGCTCAAGTTATTTAAGGCTTTCAATCATTATTAAATGGTTGCGTTAATTATTATATAGTTAATCAATTAATTTTTTCTCAATTTGTTATAATGCTATTAAAAATATGAAGTATTATATGTTGGTCAATATATTATTTTTCACATATTGGCCATCATAGCACAGGTGTTTATAGAATTATAACTTATAAATGTTTTGAATTTAAAATATTACTGTTTAATAAAAAAAAAGTATATTTTTGGATGGTTTTTTATATATATTTAATTATTTATAAGTAATTGAAACTATGCTTAAAGCTATTTAATTCCTATCGCTTAAATTTGCAATATTTATTTCTTATAATTAAAATAATTGTAAAAATAATTGTCACCCATGTTTGAATAATCAGTCGTATTGGTTCCCAAATACAACAACCAGCTCAAATATTTGAATATTTAGAATTAAAGCAAGCTTCATTATGTAATACTAGTATAAATGAGCACATGAGACAGTGCCATATATATGCGAAACATTGCCTGATACATTTATGAAGGAAACGCCCATTGAATGAAGTGATGACTAAAATTAATTGCAATGACTATAATGGATGTCTAAAAATGATTTATCACATTATTATCACCCTATTTGATAATTTAGAATATAGCAATTGCAATCAAAACTTATATATTATTTATAAAAACTTATTTATTGCATAGGTCATATAAAAATTACCAAATATTAATATTATTAAATAGTTTAATATAATTAATAATGCAATTAATTTATTAGAATTAGTGGATTTATACAATATTATCAAAAGCATTATTTTTAATAATATTATTGCAGTATTGTATCAATCGGTTGACAGCAATGTCCGCATCACTCGAGTCACGCATTTGTTCGCAAATATTCACAAATATTTGCAGTTTTGATAACACGTATGGATTCTGTGTATTAATACAATAAAGTATAATAATTATCATGACATTAAAATAACTATTCATTAAATACTTGATTCAAATTAAAGCAGTTTTGATGGAAAGTGTCGACCAGTTGTTGATAACAGTGTCTATTATTGAGCTCTTGTTTCGTATGGAGTATAGCATTGGTTGCGATGTTTGGCATTAAGTGTTGAATACTATTCACGTATTTATTGAACACGTTATCCACGTATTCGCGACCATTCAGTATAGTCTCCAACTCTTCAGTATATCTATGAATATAAATGTTTTAAAATTATATAACATTTCATATAATTATAAACTTATTTACTTTTGTTTCTCAACTAAATCGTCGCTATTTTCAATCAAATTTCTCAACACATATACCGGTGCTTCCCTATTGTCCACTACATCCCAGTCCTTTAGCAT